ATTATGCTAAGTGAAATTAGTCAGAGAAAGACAAAAATCATATGACTTCACTCACATGAGGACTTTAAGAGACAAAGCAGATGAACATAGGGAAGGGAAACAAAAAATAATATAAAAACAGGGAGGGGGACAAAACAGAAGAGACTCATAAATATTTAGAACAAACTGAGGGTTACTGTAGGGGTTGTGGCAGGGGGGGATGGGTTAAATGGGTAAGGGGCACTAAGGAATCTACTCCTGAAATCATTGTTGCACTATTTCCTAACTAATTTGGATGTTAATTTTAAAAAATAAAAATTTTTTTAAAAATTAAAAAAAAAGAAATACTTTAAAAATAAGTACAATGGGGGCGCCTGGGTGGCTCAGTCGGTTAAGCGTCCGACTTCAGCTCAGGTCACGATCTCGCGGTTCGTGAGTTCGAGCCCCGCGTCGGGCTCTGGGCTGATGGCTTGGAGCCTGGAGCCTGCTTCCGATTCTGTGTCTCCCTCTCTCTCTGCCCCTCCCCCGTTCATGCTCTGTCTCTCTCTGTCTCAAAAATAAATAAACATTAAAAAAGTTAAAAAAAAAAAAAGTACAATGAGAGGGAATCTTCCATATTAGATTTTGAGACATAAAACTATAGTGATTTAAAATAGAGTGGTACTGGCAGAGAACTAGATAAATAGGATTGAATAGATTCCAGAAATGAACTTATATGTGTGTGTGTATATAACGTGAGAGTTTAGCTCATGGTAAAAGAGGCACTTAAAAAATTATTGAATAATTAATGGATCAGTCAGTACATAATTTAGCAAAAAATGCCTGTCCAGTTTGTGTGCATATATATGTGTCCGTAGATATATAGTATATGTATATGTATACATATTTATAAACACACACACATATATCCTTAACAGCATTTAAAAAAATAAATTCCAGATGAATTAAAGAACCAAATGCAAAAATAAAACAAATAAAAACTAAAAATATTAGATGATAATATGGAAGATATTGTGTATACAATCTTATAATCTTGGGTAAAGATATCCTTCTTAAACAAGATATAGCATCCAAAACAAAAAAGAAAAATGGACAGGTTTGACTCTACAAAAGACGTAACAAAGTTGAAAATAAGCAAAAATTATATGCAATATATGCGTAACAAAGGATTAGCAGCATTAAGATATAAAGAAACTATAAATTAGGAACAAAAGGCAAATAAATCAATTAAAAATGGTCAAAGAAGATGAATAGGTAGTTAAAAAAGAATATATAAAGAGAAGTTTACTGCACTACTAATGTGAAAAATGTAAACAAAGAATAAGAATGTTGTATCATTTCTTACCCATCAGATTGTTTAAATTCTTTGAAGGAATATTTTGCACTACCCATCAAAATAGAAATGTTCCATTTCTAAATTCTGCAATTATGTTTCTAGGAATCTATTTTTATGGAAGTGCTTGCATATTTGCAAAAGGACACATGAACAGGATTGTTCATGGCAGCACTGTTTATAATAACAAAATGGAAATGATCTAAATGTACAAATAGAGAACAGATTAAAGGAAATGATTAAATCTGGGAAGAGGGGTATATTTGGGAGTGGTAGGGGAAAAGGAGTCTTATATTTTATTATATGTGTGGGCCTTTTGTATTGTTTTAATCTTTTACAAGCATTTTTCATGTATTAACTGTATAAAATTTTAATGAATAAATAATAAAATAAAATAATTAAATACATAAATAAAATAACACTAAATTAAGTAATTTAAATAATTTAAATTTAATTAAAGAAAATAAATTAAATAAATAAAAGTTATTTAATCATATCGCATAAAACTTGGGTAAAAGAAAGCAGCCTTGGGGCGCCTGGGTGGCGCAGTCGGTTAAGCGTCCGACTTCAGCCAGGTCACAATCTCACCGTCCGGGAGTTCGAGCCCCGCGTCGGGCTCTGGGCTGATGGCTCAGAGCCTGGAGCCTGTTTCCGATTCTGTGTCTCCCTCTCTCTCTGCCCCTCCCCCGTTCATGCTCTGTCTCTCTCTGTCCCAAAAATAAAATAAATAAACGTTGAAAAAAAAAAATTTTAAAAAAAAGAAAGCAGCCTGATGTGATAGCTCAACTTATGATTTCATTTTACTGTATTTCCAGGTCCCTTTCCTAAATATTTTATTTCCTTGATTGATTTATACACTTTCTTGAAGACACAAACTTCTGGAACATCTTCCAACTAGAACAAAGAGATTTTCTAAATGTGTATTATGATGTAAAAAAAAAACCAGTTAATTTATCTTAAAAAATGTGTTAAAAATATTCACCTTTTCCGTGGACCAATTTACCCCAGCAACAAAAGACAACGCTAGTGTGAATAATCCTCCAGCTGCATGTAAACCAATATGATGGCTGCCCAAGACAGCGGAAACACACATACTCAAAATAAGGAATGCTCTCTTCAGTGAAAGTTTTGTCTAGAATTAGATATTTAGAAATTAATTTACATTTAATACATAATACAATATTTACATCTTCTATCATTGATTATTGATCTTTTGATATCATGTCTCTATATGTTATATTAAGTAATATCTAAAATTTTTACATTCTTCACCACCAAATATTTTAGCAGATTTGGTACCAAGTGAAAAAATTTGTAATTATTACATTTTATCCTCTGCCACATCTCTGATACTAATGTCAGTAAAATGGCTCTAATACTTTAGCTGTAAGTGAAGAAGAAAGGAAAGAGACCCTTATGTAGTTCTATATATTTTAATATCTCTTTAGCTAAGACAATTGTTAAGGGGAAATTAAGATGGAAGTTACAGAAATACAAGAGTAATGGCATATCCTTTGGCGGAGGAAAGGGTTGAGTTTAATACAGTTGCCTTAGCCAAAGGAAGTGGGAGTGAATTTAAGTTAGAAAACATGCAGAGATAAATGGCAATCTATTTCCCCAAAAATGTTCAATGGAAAATTGGAGGGAAAAATCATTAGGGAAAATTGTCAGGGGTCAACAGGCAATTCAATGAATAAAGGGGTGGTGGAATTGAAAAGGTACTCTGGGTTAAGTACACTTTTCTGATATTCTTATTTGCCAAATTAGGAAGCAGAGACTCTAGTCAAGACCATTGACTTGTATCAATCACAGCTGTGCTCCATTTTAAGCAGAGAGTAGGCATTGGAGGCTATTTTGGGGAAAGGAGAATTAAATGTTACATTTAACTGTTTATGGCTCTTCCAAAAGTTCAAATTTTTAAAAGAAATATCTAATAGTATACTTCTAAAAAATAAACTTTTTATTTACCTGATCTTCACTTGGAAAATATCGAACAAAAATTCCCAAAACAGCTCCTGCCAGCACACCAATAAGTATGTCCCGGAAAGAGGCAAGGATATTTTTAAGTACACTGCCTGTAAGGACACACAATAAAGGAAACATTTCATAGAGAAATATTTTCACATACTTCACATATCAGAGGATCAAATCTAGGTGGTTTCATAAAGAAAGACACATATTTTCCAGAACAAATATACAAAAATGGTCCTTTAATATTCACATACTTGAAAATATATGATTTGTTTGATAAATTATATATTGTCAAATAATTTAATAAATACACACAATTCAGAAATGTTCATTGAAAATATAGGCCAGAAAACAAAGAAGTAATAAGCCATAATGTGGCTCACCTACACATACAACCTGAAAGACCAAGTGAAGTGGAAGAATGGACAGAAATGGACAAAGGAACACTTCTGGCACCTAGCACATGTTTCTTCTCCAATATACTATTATGACAAAGAAACAAATGACTTAAAAATGAAAAGAAAAATTTAACAACAACAGAAGATTTATTACAGGATCAATCCTAGGAATATTCGAGTCAGGAGTCAATTGAGTTTCTAATATATTTTATGTACCCATATCTGCAGTTTAGAGTAATAAGTTTTAAAAAAGATCCTGAGTCACAAAAAAGTTGTTATGCTATGTGTATTTAGCTTAATAAGGTGTGTGTGTGTGTGTATATATGTGTGTGTGTGTGTGTGTGTGTGTGTGTGTATACATTTAGAAATGTTCTTTATTAAAAAATTATAGAAATGCAGGGTGACAACAATAAGATAGTAGATTGGGAAGCCCCAGAACCTTGTTCCCTCACAGAGGCATCAATTTAACAACATACAGTCCAAAAGCCTTAATGGAACTCCACAAACCAATTAAGAAGTTGCAGTAAGAGAAAAGTGACTCATCATGTAGAAGGAAGCTCCTGGAAGATTATCAGAGGATTTCAGAGTGGAAACCTTAAAACGACCAGAAGAGGGTGGGATGATAAATTCAAAGTGCTGAAAGAAAAAAAAAACTGCCAATCAAGAATATTATTCTACAAAATTACCTTTCAAAATGAATAAAAAATTAAGACTTAGATAAACAAAAGTTGAAGGAGTTCATCACCACTACACCTGACTTACAAGAAATGTTAGAGGGAATCTTCAAGTGGAAGTAAAAGGATGTTATCAATACAAAAGCACACAAATATAAATCTTTGGTAAAGGTAAATACCATAGATGAATTCAGAATCCTGTAATACTGTAACAGTGGTGAGTTAATCACTTTCAATCCTGTTATAGAATTTAAGATAAAGACATGAATATAACCGTAAGACTGTTAATGGATATACAACATAAAAAGATTTAATTGTGACATGGATTACAAAGTGAAGAGGGTGAGATGTAAAGGATTAGAATTTTCATATGTGATTGAAATTATCACTTTGAGTTTTTATAAGGATAGAAAAAGATATTCCATGCAAATGGTAACCAAAAGACAGCAGGGTGGTTATACTTATAACAAAATAAAATTTAAGTCAAATACAAAAAAGTCACAAGAGATAAAGAAGAACATTATATAATGATAAAAAGGCCAACTGACGCAGACCTAATAAGATGAGGTCTCCATATCTACGATATTCCAAAATATAGACGTATTGAAGATCTAACGTAAAAATAAAATCCTGAAAGCCCTTAACATTTTAAGTGACAGTTTATACAGTCATGAGTCAAGAGAAGATTTTCTAAGCATGTAACTGCTTGGTTTTTCACTTTTTCTGTCCTCCTCAAATTAGGTGTGATCTCCTGTAGCATGCTGTGTAGCACCGCAAACTATCTACTATTTATCACATTTTGTAATTTTTTGTTTAACACAAACTCCTTGAGAACATGAGCCACATGGGCTTCTCTGCTGTGTCAAATAGTATAGAATAGTACTTAAAAGTGTGGGTATGGGGTTGCATCCCAGTGAAAACTGGGTTTCCAGTTTTGGGTCTGTGACTTTGACCAAGTTACTTAACCTCTGTTCCTTGGTTTCCTATTCTGTAAAATGAACATAGTACCATTGTGACTATTAAATGAGTGAAAATATCTGTGGAACTTGGAGCAAGTATCAAAGCAATTACTCAACAAAAGCTAATATTGTCGTTCAGTGTTTATCCTCAGTATTTGGCACAGCTGTTGGCACAATGGAAGAGGAGCACAAAAAAATATTTTTTGAAAGAATTACTGATACTTGTCATGAAGGTAAAGATTTCCAGATTTGACAATAAAAATTTTAAAATTCTGAATTGCAAACAAAAAAAAGATAAAGGTTAAAGTAAAATTACAAATGTCGATAACTATAGAGTATAGGTTATCATTCCTAATTTTATGCAGAATCTTGACAAATCAAAAAGAACGAAAGATGAACACACCTGTAAGACGAAAGCAAAGGATTTCAAGAAAAGCAATTTATAAAACATTCCAAGATGCCAATGGCCAATAAACTTGAATATTTTAAAATACCACTAGTATTCAAAGCACTCCATTTAAAGAAGCCTTGCTTTTCACCTATCAAATTAACAAAGGTATAAAAAGCTAGTAATACCTAGTTTTGAAGAAGGTGAAGAGAAAGTAGCAAGGTTTTTTACCCTGCTAGGACATGATATTGTGGTAATATATGTCAGAAAGCTTATAACTATATATACTTTTATCTCAACAATTCCACTTTTGAGATTATGAAAATATTAAGATTAGGTACAACTATTTAGCTATAAGACATTCAACCATGCATTATTTTAACAGTAAATATTGGAGTCAACTTCAATTTTCAACAGGTTAAGTAAGTATGATACAGCCAAAAGAAAACTACACAACCATTTAAAAGGTCATGGAAATATATTTACTGAAAAGAAACTTGTTAGTGATATACAGCAAAGTGCAAAACAACTCAGGTTACAAGAAAGTATGGCCAATTCTTATAATTTTATAAGAATATTGGGATGGAAGACAGAGAGAGAAAGAGATAGAGAAAGGGAGAAAGAGAAGTCTGGGTGGATTTATATCGAAAGAGTTATTGTAAGTCAGTCAGAGAAAGACAGAGAAATAAATGATTTCACTCAGGTAGAATTTAAGAAACACAACAGATGAACATAGGGGAAAGGAAGGAAAAATGAGAGAAAAACAGAGACAGAGGCAAACCATACGAGACTCTTAAATACAGAGAACAAACAGGGTTGCTGGAGGGAAAGTGGGTGGGGGGGATGGACTAAATGGGTGATGGGCATTAAGGAGGGCACTAGTTGGGATGAGCACTGGGTGTCATATGTAAGTAAGGAATCACTGGGTTCTCCTCCTGAAACCAATACTACACTGTATGTTAACTAACTTGAATTTAAATAAATTAATTTTTTAAAAAGAGTTATTATTCCTGAGGATATGCTGCAGAGTTTATCTTTTCCTTTTTTTCCCTTCTTATTTATTTAGGTCTTGATTTTAAGATAAACTGTACATATTACTTTTCAACTTAAATATTTTGGTGCTTCAATAAAACAGAAGACTGAATTTCAAACATTGCGAATAACTAAAGCATTACTAAACGTGGAAACATTTACTTTCACAATTTGTGCAGAGTGACATTCAAGATCAAATATTACCTTGGGATTCAGAAGTGCTGCAGATCTTGTCCTACCACTACCAAAAAGGCACACAGTTGTCCATACTCTATATATTTAAGATGTCTTAGTAATAGAGCAACCAGCTATTTATAATGATGGCCCAAAAGGTACATTTGAGAAATATACATTAAATATATTAGCAGTACTAATAATATTGCTGCTTAAAAATTTCTATTGAAAACTGATAAAATTTCCAAAGCAACATGAACGGAAAAATGATAATATGGGTTGTCAGATTAATTTAAATCTATGGTTATTAAATAGTGTTTGTATTAAATAGTGGTTTCTCAGTCCATTGAAGTTTCTTCCCTGCTCTAGAATGAACTTTCTATGAAGAACAAAAAGACGATACATGTAAAAATAAATAAATTTTAATAAGGAGGAAAGCCAGAAGTCTTGTTTAAAAGAACCAGAAAAGGCTGTGAATGATGTGGCAGTTGTATTTTGTTTACCTGAGGAGAAGGCTATGCTCAAGCACGCACTGAATCCAGTGATTGCGATGATGTCATCCAAACTGCTAGCAGCTATTAGTAAGGTTGGAATGCCTTTCTTAATACCATATCCATTTTCTTGCAAAAGTAGCATGGAAGGGACAACAACAGCAGGAGAGACAGCGCCTACTACAAAACTAATAGAAAGACTTTGAAAACCAATTTTAAAACATCATTTTAACAAAAGTGTTTTATATTAAATTTTACAACAAATATATTAGCCTTTACAGATTTACAATAACTTCAAAAGTAAAAATTCTGCTTTTGGGTCAACGTCATTTAATAGTGGTAAAAATTTTTCACACATTTTTTAGTGCTGCCTAAAAGTTTATAGAGATTTCATTCAAGATGTTGGTTTGAGCACAAATTGTCTCTACCTTCACCCCTAAATCCTTTGAGATGAAGATGTGAAAATAATAGGAAAACTCATAACCTAACTAGAAAGAAAAAAAAAAAAGGAAGAGAATCATCAATGGACAAGGAAATACATATAGTCCAGGAAGATAAAAGACAGTTTAAGATTGAAGAAAGAAATTATAAGCCAAGTGTGTGTGAGTAAACATTGCTACAAAAGATATGGTATACTTGAAAAAAATTTTTTAATGCTTACTTATTTTTTGAGACAGAGAGAGAGAGACAGGGCAGGAGCAAGGGAGGGGCAGAGAGAGAGGGAGACACAGAATCTGAAGCAGGCTCCAGGCTCTGAGCTGTCAGCACAGAGTCCGACACAGGGCTCAAACTCACAAACTGTGAGATCATGACCTGATCCGAAGTTGGATGCTTAACTGACTGAGCCACCCAGGCACCCCGATATGGTATACATCCAAAAATGCTCCAAGCCCAGAAACGGCAGATGCTAGGAGCAGGAGGGATCTCTGAAGAAATCCAACAGGTGATTATTTGGAATGCCACTGTAACAATGGCCAGACAAATGTACTCTCCATCCTACTTCTAATTCTTGAGCAAGTCAATAAAGAACAGAGATGCCTGCCCCAAAGAAGGAACAATGAGTGTGGATGATAACATGCATGAGGAATGGGGAAACTCCTGCTCAGAACATCTTTGTTGGTATATCCTATTTAGTACTTTACCTCATCTCTGCCACATTAACTTTATAAGGACTGAAATATATACCTTGTGTAGAGATGTTCTTGGTGTCCCAGCAGAAACCGTTTACCAGGCCAATGCACACATCCCCCAGCTGCTGCTGTTGGCTGCTAACCCCCAACACCTGCAGCTTTCTAGCAGCCTTCTCCTGCTTAGAAGAGCTTACTTGGGGGTGCTAAGGAGGTTTACCTCCCACTCCTTCTTCCAGACAGCTCCTGTCAATCACTGACTGATGTGAGGGTCTGACAGTTTAGTGCCTTTGCCTCTGACTGTACAGTCTTTCCGAATGAGAGAGCCTAGAATTCTCTGAAAACTTATTTGCCTAGTTCAGTTGTTTCTGAACTTTCCTGCACATTTGAATCACCTGGTATATTATTTATCTGTAGCTGCTCAACAAATTACCCCCAAATTTCATTGCTTAAAACAACAAACACTTATTATCACACTTCTGTGGGTCAGGAATCTGGGTGTGGCTTAGCTGGATGCCTCTGCATCAAGGTCCTCATGAAATGTGTAGAAGATCTGCTTCCAATTTTACTCACATGGCTGTTGGCAGGCTTTCAATCTTTTGTTATGGGAGCTTCTTAACAGGCTACTCACAGTATGGCAGCTGGTTTCCCCCACGATAAGCAATTAAAGAGAATGGAAGAGAAAACATGCAAAGTAGAAGCCATGGTCTTCGCATGACCTAATTTTAGAATTGACATCCTATCATTTCCATTGTATTTTGTCCATTAGAAGCAAGTCAGGTAAGTCCAGCCCATATTCAAGAAGAGGGTATTACACAAAGGTGTAAAATATTAGATAGCAGGGATTACTGGGAATAATCTTAGAAGTTGCCTACTATGTACTTGGGTACTTTTAAAAACACTGATGCCTGGCTCTCATTTTTTTTTCTTTGTTTATTTTGAGAGAGGTTGCACAGGTGAGCCGGCTGGGGGGCAGAGAGAGGAGAAAGAGAATTCGTGCTGTCTGCACAAGCCTGATGAAATGATTCATGTGGGGCTTGATCCCATGAACTGTGTGATCATGACCTGAGGCAAAATCAAGAAGTGGCAATTAACTGACTGAGCCACCCAGGTGCCCCTGCCTGGATCCCATTCTAAGACATACTGATCTAAGATCAGTCTTTGACCTAGTACTAGGATTAAAAAAATGTTTTTAGTTGTGGCAAGAAACACATAAAATTTACCCTCTAAACTATTTTTAAGGCACAGTTCAGTACTGTTAACTATATTCACATTGTTGTATAATGGATCTCCAGAACTTTTTTGTCTTACAAAACTAAAACTTTATATCCATTAAATAACTCCCCTTCCTTTCTCCCTCACCCAAGTCCCCGGCAACCATCATACTACTATCTGTTACCAGGATTTTGACTACTCTAAACAGATCAGTGGAATCATACAGCATTTGTCCTGGCTTATTTATCTCAGCATAATGTCCTCAAGGTTAATCTATGATGTAGAATGTGACAGGATTTCTATCTATATTTTACAGGTAAATAATATTCCATTTTAGGTATGTACCACATTTTCTTCATCCATTCATCTGTCAGTGTGGGCTGCTTCCACTTCTTGACTTTGTGAATAATGTTCCAATAAACATGGATGTGGAAATATCTCTTTAAGATCTTGCTTTCAATTCTTTTGTATATATACCCAAAAGTGGGATTACTGGATTAGATGGTAATTCTATTTTTGTTTTTTTTTAAGGAACTTCCAACCTGTTTTCCGTAGCAACTGCTTGTTTTATATTTCCAACAACAGAGCACAATGGTTCTCATTTTTCCACATCTGTGCCAATCTTTATTTTGTGTTATTTTCTGTTTTTTTTTTTAAGATTTTAAGTAATCTCTACACCCATTATGGGGTTCGAATTTACATCACCAAGATAAGGGTTGCATGCTCTTCTGACTGAGCCAGCCAGGTGCCCCTATTTTGTTTTTGTTTTTTGATAATGATCATCCTAATAGGTGTGAGCTTATATCTCATTGTGGTTTTGATTTGCATTTCTCTAATGATTACAGATATTGAGTACTTTCATATGCTTGTTGGCTATTTGTATATTTTCTTTGGAGAAATTTCTATTCAAGTCCATTGCCCACTATTAAGTCCATTATTATTGTTGAGTTGTAGGAGTTGTTTATATATTCTGAACATTGACCTTTTCAGATATAGTTTGCAATTATTTTCTCCCATTCCGTGTACTCTTTCCATTTTGTTTCCTTTGCTGTGTTGAAATTCTTAAGTTTCATGCAGTCTCATCTATTTTCATATTTGTTGCCTGTGCTTTTTGTGTCATATTCAAGAAATAATTGCCAAATTTAATGTCATAAAAGTTTTACATGTGGTTTGCTGAATATAGTATTCTTGATTGGCAGGTTTTTTCTTTCAGCATTTTGAATATATCATCTCATTCTCTTCTGGTATAAAAGGTTTCTGCTGAGAAATCCTATTTTATGGGTGATCTTGCTTTTCTCTTGACACTTTAAGATTCTCTGTCTTTTTTCCCCTCTTTATGTATTTTTTGACAGCCTGAGTATGTGTCTCAGTGTGGGTTTCTTTAGTCTTATTCTAGTGGAAATCCTTTGAGCTTCTTGAATTTGTATATCTATTTCCTTACTCAAATTTGGAAGTTTTGGCAACTATTTCTTTAAGTAGGTTTTCTGAACATCTCTCTCTCTCTTCTCCTGGAGCTCTCATAATGTGTAGATTAGTCCATTTAATAGTATCCCTTAAATCTCTTAGGATCTCTTCACTTCTCTTTTGCTTTTTGCTTCTCTGACTTGTAATTTCAAGTGACCAATCTTTTAGTTCACAGGCTCTTTCTTCTGCTTGATACAGTGTGATTTTGATCCTCTCTAGTAAAATTTTCAATTTAGTTATGTATTCTACAGCTCCAGAATTTTTATTTTTGTTTGCTTTTTACAGATTCTTCATCCTTGTTGGTATTCTCATTTTGTTTATGCATCATTTACCTAATTTATTTTAGATTTTCTGTGTTCTCTTTTAACTCATTAAGCATCTTTATGATGGTTATTTTGAATTATTTGTTGGGTAATTCATACATTTCCATTTGTTTAGGGTTGATTTCTGGAATTTCATTTCATTCCTTTGTTGGAGCCATCATTTGGATACTTGAAAAAACAGTCAGTTCTTCCTGTCTTTATGAACTGTTTTCACTAGAGAAAGTTCTTCACAAATCAGCTCGGCTAGAGATTCTAGGGGTCTCTCAAACATTTCTGGGATGCATCTTCTCAGGGTTGGGTACATTATCGCCAGCTGAAAAGTTTTGCCTTTTTCTGCTCCAGAACACCCCTAATGTCTGTCTGCAGTACTGCAATATCTCAGGAGCTAGAGCAACCCACAGGACTCACCTTTGTTTTCAATGTGCCTCAGTATCCAAAGTGTGCCACTCTTTTTCTGCCAGCACTCTGAGTTAGGTGAGACAGAAACCTGTCCCTTGACTCAAAATGCCAGAATGTAGACACATGTCCCAGCTTCTTTCTTTCCTTCCTGATGGATAAGCCAGGGGTTGGGAGTTTTCTTTTGATTTCCTCTGCTGTGCAGGGAGGGGATGAGGTATGGTGGGTAAATACAATGAAATGTCTTAACTACTCCAATGTGTCTCTTCTTGACCTTGCACTTGGACTGGACGGTGCAACCTCTCAAGTGGTTTCTGGAGTTCTCACAAAGGTAATTTGGTTCTTATGTTTTTTTTGTTTTTTTGTTTTTGTTTTTTTTTTTTTTTAATTTTTTTTTTCAACGTTTATTTATTTTTGGGACAGAGAGAGACAGAGCATGAACGGGGGAGGGGCAGAGAGAGAGGGAGACACAGAATCGGAAACAGGCTCCAGGCTCTGAGCCATCAGCCCAGAGCCTGACGCGGGGCTCGAACTCACGGACCGCGAGATCGTGACCTGGCTGAAGTCGGACGCTTAACCGACTGCGCCACCCAGGCGCCCCTGGTTCTTATGTTTTTAAGTCAGTAAGTGGGAGAAGAAGAGCCTGGGGCTTCGTATTCTGCTATCTTGCTGACA